TAGCATGCTTTTCTTTTTATCATGTTTCTCATAAAAACAGTGAAAATAAAAAAATGTTCTAAATAGCGAATTTTATAGAATGAGGCATTTTTGTCCACAGAAATAATCCTTGGAAACAATTTTCTCGGCCCTGAAACTCAATTTTAAATTGCTGCCATTTTTTCTATCGACACGAGTTTATTTTCTTTGCTAATAAATACAACATAACGTAATAAATGAAATTCTTACTTTTAAACATTGTTCCTAATATACCCCTTGGAATTATATAAACCTGACTGCATTTCTTTTTAAATGTAAAATTTAATAGTTTTCTATAATTTAAGTTTAATCAAAGAAAAGTCAAATCAGATATTAAACACAAGCTACACAAACATGCGTTTTATTATAACAAACAAATAACATATAACATTCTGAAACAAGAGGGCCATGATGGCCCTAGATCGCTCACCTGACCCATCAAACTCATCCAAACAATTACCTAAGCATTCTGACCAAGTCTCATGACAGGTGAGTCAAAAATGTGACCACTACAGTGTTAACAAGGATTATCCATATTTGAGCAGTGTTTTCTTACCCAGGTGACCCATATTCAAACTTGACCTAGAAATCATCAAAACAAACTTTCAGACCAATTTCCAGGATACTTGGATCAAAACAGTAGCAACTAGAGTGTTAACAAGATTTTTCTATTTTTAGCTCCGGTGACCTCATTTCACATGCGATTTCGAACTCATCCGATCAATTACCTAGGCAAGCATCCTGACCAAGTTTGATGATAATTGAGTCAAAAATGTGACCACTAGAATGTTAACAAGGTTTTTCCATATTTGGGCGGTGTGACCAAGTTTTTCATCCAAGATGACCCATGTTCGAACTTGACCTAGAAATCATCAAAACAAACTTTCAGACCAATTTACAGAATATTTGGATCACAACAGTAGCCACTAGAGTGTTAACAAGATTTTTCTATTTTTAGCTCCTGTGACCTAGTTTTTCATCTGAGATGACCCATGTTCAAATTTATCCCAGCAATGACCTAGACAAGTTTCCTGACCAAGTTTGATGACAATTGAGTCAAAATTGTGACCACTAGAGTGTTAACAAGGTTTTTCTATTTTTAGCTCCTGTGACCTAGTTTTTAATCCGAGATGACCCATGTTCGAACTCATCCGAGCAAGTACCTAGACAAGCATCCTGATCAAGTTTGATGACACTTGTGTCAAAAATGTGACCGCTAGAGTGTTAACAAGATTTTTCTATTTTTAGCTCCTGTGACCTAGTTTTTCATCTGAGATGACCCATGTTCGGACTCATGAAGCTATCACCTAAACAAGCATCTTGACCAAGGTTGATGATGATTGAGGCAAAAATGTGACCGCTAGAGTGTTAACAATGTTTTTCTATTTTTAGCTCCGGTGACCTACTTTTTCATCCGAGATGACCCATGTTCGAACTGATTTGAGCTATCACCTAGACAAGCATCCTGACTAAGTTTGATGATGATTGTTGCAAAAATGTGACCGCTAGAGTGTTAACAAGTTTTTTCTATTTTTAGTTCTTGTGACCTAGGTCTTCATCCGAGATGACCCATGTTCAAACTCATCCGAGCTTTCAACTAGATAAGCATCCTGACCAAGTTTGATGATGATTGAGGCAAAAATGTGACCGCTGGAGTGTTAACAAGGTTTTTCTATTTTTAGCTCCGGTGACCTAGTTTTTCATCCGAGATGAATCATGTTCGAACTCATCCGAGCTATCACATAGACAAGCATCCTGAACAAGTTTGATGATGATTGATGCAAAAATGTGACCGCTAGAGTGTTAACAAGTTTTTTCTATTTTAAGCTCATGTGACCTAGTTTTTCATCAGAGATGACCCATGTTCAAACTCATCCAACCAATTACCTAAACAAGCAGCCTGACACAGTTTGATGATGATTGAGGCAAAAATGTGACCACTAGAGTGTTAACAAGTTGTTTTTTTCTTGCTCCGGTGACCTAGTTTTTCATCTGAGATGACCCATGTTCAAACTCATCTGAGCTACCACCTAGACAAGCATCCTGACCAAGTTGGATGATGATTGATGCAAAAATGTGACCGCTAGAGTATTAACAAGGTTTTTCTATTTTTAGCTCCGGTGACCTACTTTTTCATCTGAGATGACCCATGTTCGAACTCATCCGAGTAACATCCTGACCAAGTTTGATGATGATTGAGGCAAAAATGTAACCTCTAGAGTGTTAACAAGGTTTTTTCTAATTTTAGCTCTTGTGACCTAATTTTTCATCCGAGATGACCCATGTTCAAACTCATCCGAGCTATCAACTAGATAAGCATCCTGACCAAGTTTGATGATGATTGAAGCAAAAATGCGACCGCTAGAGTGTTAACAACTAAATGTGAACGGACGACGGACGATGGATGACGGCCGACGGACAATCATCGATCCTAAAAGCTGACCCTGAGCATGCTCAGGTGAGCTAAAAAACATTAAAAGATTTAAAGGCAACTTTCAAGCACGTTCATGCCCCAGACAAAACTTTTTCTTAACTGAAGGACATATCCCCAGTGCCCCATAATTACACTCAATTTGTAAATGTTCGTTTTCCCATCCTAAATTTTGATACAGTCAAGTGGCCCTTGTTTCTTTGTCTAAGTGAACCACGTGTACTTATATAACTGTGCTTTATTTGAAAAAAAAAACACACTTTTTCTAAAATGTGTGCGTTACCTAAGATATCTCACTGTGCGTTATTGTCGATATAGCATATCAATGGAATCAAAGACAAATCACCGCACCATGCGATAAATATATTTTAAGCTCTCTATATGATTAAGTAGTATCTTCTTTTTGTTACAACTAATACAAAAGTGTACATGTACTTAATTTCTTAATAAATCAACACCGTTTGAAATCAAAGAGTGGCAAATCATTTTATTTTCCTGATAAATACATTTTATTTGCGACAAAAATGTCTAGATAAAAAGCCATACGTAAAAGACTGCCAATTATTTGAAAATAATTCTTAAATACAATTATTTTTTTTTTGTACAAGTCAAGAGCAACATTGGTATACACAATTTATCATTTATCTGCATAACATTATTCGAACTTTGATGAAAGCAATACTGATTAAAATAAATATGATTGGTCCAGTCTGTTTTACCATTATGTCAATCATTGAAACTATCTTTTTCAAATCTTTAGACTTCCTTAAATATAACATAATTTTGTTTTCATTCAACATTTTAACATATTTAAAAACATACAAGGCTTACAAACAAGTTCACGGTAAACAACTGCGTTAGGGATACTTATATTTACACTCAATATCATTTCACAGAATTTTGAATGCACTTTTTCTATTTCACTAGATGTATTTTTTTACCAAATCTTGGATGCAGAGATTAAGGTCAAACTTAGATTAGAAAACAATACAAAAGTTGGCGGAATTATTCGATTAAATTTATGTCTACTACATTTGATAAACAATATCATACATGTAGCTTCCAATGATGTTCAAACAAACTCTTCTTGATTGAGTGCAAATTAAAAACCTTTTCCCTAAGTAATAATTACAGTAACTGTATATCATTTACAATACTTTGTTTATGTCTTTAAAAGAAGAAATCTGCAGAAGTGAATATGAATTTCATTTCATGAATATAATATCATTGTTCCATCACAGACAACATAAAATTTGGACTTTTACTTATGTTATCAGGTGTGTACCCAAAGCTTACCACGTGAATATAATACAAACATGAAAAGTTATTTATTAACCTTATACACTACTGGTAACTAGATAGAAGAAAAACGTGTAAAATTCACTTCCTTGTCATAAACCAACAGAATACTGACTGGTGTTCCAAGTAAATAGATAAATAAATAAATAAAAAAAAGAATCCGATTACATACATTTGATTTAACTTTTTGGATGATTATATCTTAAACAATTTATTATATTTACACCCAATACTAAGGATATACAACTTTAAACAAAAAGCATCCCGACAAGCACAAGCAAGTACTGTTTTAAAATTCATAAAACACAATTTATATGCTTATTATGACTGATATAATTTTGTCATGATTAGTATAATTTAATACAATAATTGAGACACGTAAAGAACAATTGATCAACGGTTGACCTTTTTTTCTAAATCAAAATTGAGTGTCATAAACACTTTGTCAGGTTATTAGTTTTCTTGTCTTAGAGGTTGAAACATAATAACTTCAGCTATATCACAATATTTACGAGTATTTACATAAATTTCTTCACCATTTTTTAGAAAGTATCTTTCGTCCAGCTATATGGAAAATATCTACTTACAGCTACATATATCACTTAACTTGCATAATGATAAATCTAAAAACTCAACAAGACAATTATTTAAATAGGAGTTATTGCCATAGATTTCCCTGTCTTAATTGAACAACATTTATAGTACACCATCACCAGTTTCAATTTTATCATAATCATGCATAGTTAAAGAGAAATCAGATTCCTGATTTGTATAACATTTTCTAGCAAGTGTTTCAAGTTGAAACTTCCAAAAATACTTAAGTTTTATATTAGGAAAAACACTTTAAAATAAACAATGTAATAAATTTAGTAAATTTTCTTTAAGTAACAAATAAAAAAAAATAGTGAAAACTTTGTGATACATACATCAATTGGTACCGTAATTCATGAGAATTCGGTCGTTTTCTACGTTTTATGGCGTGACGCTGTCTGATCCATTATTGAATTTAACTTATTACGATTAGTAACACCTCAAACTTTTCAACACTGAAATGTCCACAACATTTAAAGTTTAATGTCACAAAGTCTTTCTACGATGTGAATAAAACATAAACTTATAATCATGGTATACACAATGAATTAAAGTTAAATAATTTTCATTCTTTACTATGTCGCAGTGCCAGTCAATGAAAAACTGGTCAAAGTATTTAACAAATGATTATTTGGATTGGTTGAAAACAACAATATGCGTTACAAAAAATAGTATTAAACAAAGAAAATCTTCACTTTACCAGACAAGGAATACAGAACAAATGTCATTCTAAAAAGTCGATAGAGTTAATTTGAACTTGTCCTGTTTGTTTATCTTTAGTTTTTACGGCAATTTCTGTGTCACCAAATATAAACCTTGTTCCGATTTCTCTGTCTGTTCCAAGTGAAGTATCTGGAATAGCTATTTCAAAATGGCCTATTTTCATACAACCCGGCTCAGTGATTAAATAGGGGTCAGGCGATGTTGATGCATATATTTTCCTACTGATAGTCCTTTGCTCGGCAAAAGTTGGGTTTGTGATCATTTCAATTTGTTCTTCCTCTAGTTTTACAGTCTGTCCAATTGTTATGTGTTTCTTGAAAATATCTGAACAGTATAACTTTCCATCAATCGATATTGTCTTGGTCGGCGGATGATTACAAGCACGAGATGTTTTATGCAAACCTTCCTGTCCATATGTGTACTTGCATATTCGCTCGGAGATTGTACTTGGCCGATGACCAAAAATAACGGCCCCTTTCAAAACAGCTAAACCGGCCCCGTCCGGTATAATGACATTATACCTTCTTCCAAATGTGCGCTTGATAGCATCTTGAAGAATATTTGACTCCGAAAATCCCCCAACCATAACAATAGATGTACATCCTCTGTTCATCCGTTCCCTCAATAACGACGCTAAATGCTCTATAATGCTATCTACCGATTGCGTGAAAAATGACCTAGCAATTTCAACATCAACTCTAAGTTTCCCGCTTACATATGTTACCTTTCCTTTGAAAGGTGATGATATCATTTTGTCCTTAATTGACAACCCAGTGGCATCTTTGATAGTATCAGCAAATGAAGGGGGTATACGAAAAGTAACCTTGTCTGATTGACCTGGTGACGTTTCGCGTTTTTTGACCTCAAACGTTCGGAGCAGATCAATATAGTCATCCATATGCTCTTCCTTAAACTGCTGGAATGCTTTTGGACCTATATAAATAGATAAGATATTAAAATGAGCAACCGAGCAAGTGCAACGCTCGCGTCTGTAACCTTTTCTAAAAGAGACATTTCAAATGTTTAAAAAAATCTTACAAAAGAAAATAGTTTATTACAAAAATTTTAACAATGTTGGTCTTTAGACCATACTTCATGCAAAAGATTTCTTTTAATTATACTATAATTAATACATTGTACTAATTTCAGAGCTATACATAAAAAACAAGAAAGTAGGTCACTAGATCAATATCCTGGTGTTTTATATCAAACTTCTGTTCTAACCCTGAAATTGTGCATATGGTCAAAATGTCATAGCTTTATTTAAAAAAAGCCACAGGATGTAATTCCATCATAATTTAGGTCAGCTGATATCAAAGTTCAATTTTACATTTAAAGCTATGCAAATTGCCGAAATTTCATGGCTATATATCAAAGGACAAGACAGTAGGCCTCTTTGTCATGTGATATCAAAGTTCAATTTAAATCTGAATCCGTGCACATGGTCCAAATTTCATACCTGTACATTAAAGGACTAGAAAGAAGGTCATATCATCAAAATCTTGATTAGCTGATATCAAAGTTTAATTTTGCATCTAAAAATGTGCACATTCCCTATATTTCGTAGCTGTTTCTGTTTTTACTATATGTACATAATGGAAATCAATGACAAAACCAACTTTGACCCTAAGGCTATAATTTGAATAATCTTAGTAGAGGTCCACTACGCAATGTTTCATGAAAAATACTTACTTCTAGCCGATGTCAATTAAGAAAAGATATTTTGTTTAAGTTTTTAGTAATCTAACTACATATAAGGGAAACCTATGAACCTCGGGCAAGGCCAATTTTCACCCTATGGACAATATTTGAACACCTTTGAATACTGTATCAAAGCTCTAAGCCTTGTACCTTCAGAAAAGTAGTTATCTTAAGTTTTTACTATATGAACGTAGTAAAAAATCAATGAACCCCGGGGCGGGACCAATGTTGACCCCAGGGCTATAAATTGAACAGTCTAGGTAGAGGTCCACTACGCAATGTTTCATGCAAAATATCTAAACTCAAGCCTTTTTTCAATTAAGAGAAGATATTTTTTAAGGTTTTACATTATACATATAACTCACACCTATGACCCCCGGGGACGGGTGCATTTTGACACTAGAGGCAAAATTTGAACAACTTTTGTACAAGACATATAGATGATATCATTTACCAATGACTTATGCAAAATATCTCTGCTGTATGCTTAGTAAGTCTTTACAAGAAGATTTTTAAATTTATTCTTAAAATTCCGTTTGGTTACCATGGCAACCACATTTCTGCATGAAATCAAATCAAATGCTTTGAACGACTTTGGAAACAATTCACCTAAGAAATAATCCTGCTTAAGTTAGTTGAAACTGGACTAGTGGTATTTCACATACATACATACATGCATGCCCCTCATCGCTGTGGGTTCGAATCCCGACAGGGACTTTAAATACTTTCATGTGAGGGAGCTATCCAGCTAGCTTACGGAACGGCGGTGGTTCTACTCAGGTGCCCTTTCGTGCCTGAAATAATGCACGGAAGGGCACCTGAGGTCTTCCTCCACCGGTAAAGCTGGAACGTCGCGATATGACCTATACTGTGTCGATATGACGTAAAACCCAACACAAACAAAAACATGCACCCACACTTACATACAGACAGACAGACAGACAGACAGACAGACAGACATACAGACATTCAATTTCACATCTACAACCGTGCACATGATCCAAAAAGTCGGTCACTTCGTCAAATTATCTAGGTCTAGGTCGCTTGATATCATAATTCAATTGTATATATAAAACTGTGGACATGGACCAAATTTCACAGTTGTGCATAAATGGACAAGAAAGAAGGTCATTTGGTCGAATTTTCTAGGTCAGATGATATCAAAGATCGATTTGACATCTGGAACTGTGCATATGATCCAAATTTCATAGCTAAGAAAGTAGGTCACTTCGTCAAATTATCTAGGTCAGCTGATATCAAATTTCAATTTTACATCTAAAACTCTGCACATTGTCCATTTCATAGTTGTATATCACAGGATAATTAAGCATGTTTCTTTGTAAAAATCTAGGTCAGCTCATATCAAAGATCAATTTTATATAAAAACTGTGCACATGAACAAAATTTCACAACTGTACATCAAAGGATAAGAAAATAAGTCAATCCGTGATATTTTTAGGTCAGCATATCATATCATATTTTAATTTTAGATCTTAAACTGTGCACATGGTCCTAATTTAATAGCTGTGCATTAGATTATCTAGGTCAGATATCAATCTCAACAATAGGCCATTTCGTAAACATCTAAAACTGATACCAAAGTTCAATTTTACATCTACAACTGAGTGCATGGTCCAAATCACATTACTTTAAGTAAATAAAGAGAATTTCGTTAATTTGACATTGCCTGTCAAGGTCATTTAAAGCTCTGGTTACATATTATTCAATAGTAACCTACCAAGAAGATGCGGATCCAATTATTTATTAATGGTTTGCATTCTTCTGGTGTGAGGGTTTGAGTACTTTGTACGGTGAAGTAATATGCTAAAATATGTCGTAAAAATAGATAGAAATCGTAGATACCTGCTATATCTGCAAGGAATTGTTCGTAAGCTTTGTCTACCATAGTTCCTCCCCAAGCCCCTCCACTAGCTTTGTGTAACTCTCGGAGTTTACCATCTACTATGACTTGATGAACAGTGATATCAATAGTACCCCCTTTAAAATGAACATTAAAATAAGGTTGAAATATCATTTAAATATTTAAAAATATCGAGATGAAATAATTGTCGGAATGTTTAATTATTAAAAAGCAATGTTGAAATGAAATTAAAACAACAGGTTACTTATTTGTATTAATATTTCTAAAATGAAGCATTACGGTGATCAAGGTTACAATGGTAAAAATAATCTTAGAGGCTATTTCTCTATTTGTCCGAGTGTTAAATTACAATATACATTTGCGTATACCAAATAAGAACAAATATAGCTTTTCTATAGTGAAATATCAATATTAAGTACAATGGAAACAAGTAATTCTTCAGGAAATGTTTCTTTCTGCACCTTTCAGGGTAGATAGGGATATAAATTGATTAGATTTCTATCCTATTATATTTTGATGAATAAAATATATAAATTAAAAACAGTTTGTCTTGCTTTTTTTCTGTCAGTCAAATTTTATTTCTCCTGAATTCCGATTCTTTTTTTATTAAAGATCCTGTACTACAATTTTTATGGTTTTATATCATAAATATGATGCTCAAATTAAGATTTATCAATTTTGTAAGTTCCAAAAAGATTTATTTATAAAGGTATTACAGAATTTAACATATCATGTTAATATTGGGAAATAAATACTATTAGAAATTTATTGTCTATAAAGTCTGAGTCAAATTTTTCAATATGAAATGAATGCATATATTTTAATGGATGCATGTAATGTACCCAAATATTTGCAGTACATATTTTACATATTTTTCGATGTTTAAAAGTTTTCTTATGATAACCCCGCATATATATATATATATATATATATATATATATATATATATATATATACATTATCTGTTTTTTACGAAATATATGCAGATATAAATGCAGATATATAAACAAATATAAAAAAATGAAATTTATAAATGAATTAATATTGACTTTGTGATTCATGTAATTTCTATCATTAAGAGGTTAAGTTTTAGCATAATGTGCATGTAATTTGACATGAAAACAAAAAGACAATACCTAAAGTGAAATAAAAAATATAACAAAAAACAACAAATTCTTACGCTTCAATTGAACTTAAAATTTTGATATTGATACGTATCACCAAACCGATGAATGGAAACAGAGTATGGGTTGATACTCAATTAAAAAAGTGTTCATAATTATAAATTGCGTGTTCGATCAATTTATATTTTCATGGTTTGTTGGGCATGACATGTTATCTTATTATTGTTAACATTTCGAGGGGTGAAAGCAAAAGGTTCTAAGTCACATTTTTTTTTTTACAAAATTCACTCTTTTATATATTTGTAACATAAACGCCCATATACATCTTATGTCAAAATATATTAGATTTAGTTTACTTATAACTGGGTGAAATGAAAAATTGTCCAAAGGTTCTAAGTGAAATTAACCTGTTTTTAAAAAGCGAAAAGGTTCTAACTGCAAATGGCAGTTAGAACCTTTTCGCTTTCATTGAGTATAAAATGTACAAGATTAAATAAAAACAACTCAAACTGCATTAAAATAAGTCAGATCAAAGCAATTTTGGAAGCTAAACCTATAATTGCATATTATTAAATAATATCACATAAGAAATTCATTAGTTTCAGAGTAGATGCCTTGATTTTGGAAGAAAACTAAAGTACTTAGAACTGTTTCGCAGTTAACTTCACTCATGAAATTATCGATTTTTAAAAAGGGAAACAGTTCTAAGTGTACAAGGCCAGTAATGATCACACACTATCTCAAAGGGTTTTAAGTGCCTGTGAGAAATTGTGTGATGACATTGAAGGTAGGGCTATAGATGCAGGTTAGAAATCTGATAATGTTACTGACACTTTAGCTAGTTGTAATAAATCCAGGGACATAATTGAAGAAGAAGCTTTAAGCTGTGGTCTCACATCCTGGCAGAGCCTTGGTAGATGTACGGGGATGATCCAGGAACATTACCGGTGTACATTCGTAACTTTGCCTGGGATGATACGGGAACATTCGGTATTCCACCCCGATGGATTAAAGTAATTAATATTATCGGGGAGATACGGGAAAGTATAGCCTTGCTGGTTTTATCCTTAGCCCTTCCGGGAACGACCGGGTTACACCAGGGAATCACTGTAGCTCTGCTGATTCAAACTGGAGATGATCCAGGGTATGATATTGCCAGTAGAGCTACAGTAGAGCCCCGGTGAATGCAAGCAGAGCCCAAGTGAATGCTGGCAGAGTCCCTGTGAAAGCAAGCAGAGCTGGTCTGGATCCATGCTGGTCACAAACGCACTATGTTGGTTTTGTCGTGACGCGGCTCATTTCATCTCTTCTATGTATTATTGCTACATGGGAGTGTCTCAAGTGTGTTACGCATATAATCTTAAAAAATTGTGCAAGTCATATGTAATGCACAATTTTTAAAATATATTTTCAGTTCAAATATATTCTGGGATTCTGTGTGTAACTGTTTATTGCAAAGATATTCTTGAACTTTGAATGAAGTTTCAGACAAAGTAGAGAATATTGTTCACTATTATATGATTTAAAATAGCTGTTATCTCATTGGTTCAAACAGTGGTAATCAGAACAAATTATAAAATCATATTCACTGGGTGTGGCATCATATTTACTGGCTAAATCGGATTTTCCCTATCTAAATTAGAATCAGACTCGTATTCTAAAGAACCATTTTTATTACAGCATTGGGATGCCAGATGAATTGCGTCATTTAAGCACATTTTATTAATGAACATTTTAAGTGTCATTTTGGCGCATTTTAGAATGGAACTATGTGCTAAGAATGACATAATTTAGCTGCTTATAATATTTAAGTTGTTTAAAAATAAATGCATACACTTTTGTAAGAAAATAGTTGTGGATGAAATGACATTAATTTCCATGAATAAATATCTTATTGAAGGTAACCATTTTAATTATGAAAGATTATGAATATTACTGTTTTATTTTGAATATTAAAGAATATGACAGAAAATGCAAGACAAGAGGGCCATGATGGCCCTGAAGTCGCTCACCTCGTAGGCTTAGCGCAAAACGGTTGGTTACTCACTTTTCCCCACAAAATAACATTTTTAACATTTTCAATGTATTTTGTGGTTATGCATATCCTCAGTAAGTATTTTAAATGGATTCTGAAAATTAACAAGTTAAATCAATATTTGTCAAAAGGTTGTATCTCAAATTGCTCTTAATTTTCAGCGCAAAATGGTTGTATCTCAAGTTACAACCTTTTTGCGCTGAAAATTCTGTGCAATGGAAGTAAATTAGCATTCTGTTTGTCTTATTTGAATCATCACATGAAAAGGAGGATATAAAGACAGTAGAAAAGATTTTTTGTTTTGATATATCTAAATAAACCTTAAATATTGTTAAAAAACCCAACTAAATTGTGATTTTATATTATCACATATTATCTTCATGAAATATATTTAAATGTATATTACACTATAGTTCAATCTCATAAATTAATTCCAATAAATGAAAAAGATCCACTGCCACAATCAGCAATTGTTTGATATTAAGTAAATGAAATAACTTTCATATAAGGACAATACAGTTTATAAAATGACAAGGTGGACAGATTTAGCCCCTTATGGATCGAAAATTAGCGCCACACTTATTTTTACAGGGCAGACAAACGTTTCCATATTTTGAAAAATAATGCAAGTACATGTAGATCTAATTCAGAATATCTTCAGTTTATGCTCATAGTAGCAAAACTGAAATTGTTGCAGGCACAAAGTCTGTTCATGGAAGGTATGTCAAGGCCACCTAGCTCAGACCCATAACGCTTCAGAAATGCTTTTATTTTTATTTCTCGAAAACTTCTAAATTTTTGTGTTAAAGTTACTCATGGCAAATTACCTGAACAATCTTTTCATCTTTTGCAATTTTGAAAGAAGTACAGTTACAGTGAATAAGTATTCTTTGTGGAAGTCAATACTGCCAGTGCTTTGATTACATTTTGCTACTTTTATGACAAATCATATTACATTTATCACCATTTTCTTCATGTTACAAGCATCTTACATTCTCAAAAACCCTATTATTATTGTGAATGGCTTAGAAAACTACTATAGTATATTATAAAAGTATAATTAAAGATAAGAGAACGGAAGGGAATATGGGACCAAATTGAAGGGAGGGAGGTGGGGGTGTAATCTCCAACTATACAGACTAAAGACAAACTTTGAAATACAATGAGGATAAACTAAAAAGGGAATGGACAAAGTGGCAGGAACCAAGACCATTGTTAAAATCCCCAAAGAAACCATTGAAGCAAATGACATACTTAAAAAGGAACCATAGAATGACTTGAAACCTTGAAACAAGGAAATAGCAAAAACATAGCTTAAGAGTTTATAATATGAAGCCTTTTAAAAGCTTCTTTCTTAAAATGTAGAAAAGCCTAAAAAAATCCATATTAAACTCTATATCACAAATTCAGGGTAAGACCCAATTTGAAAAGGACCATGTTTAAATATTATAAACATTCAGTTTTAATTCCACAATTAGTTTGTAATGACAATCTATGAAGTCTTTAACCCTTGACATATTGGAACAGAAAATGATCAGTTCTTGCCACAAGTATAGATCCAGGCCAGCCTGAACACCTGTGCAATAGGTTCAGGTTCTTGTACTGTGGACAGCTCAATTTAAGTACCTGTATATTGATTGATTGATTGATTGATTTGATTGACTTTTCCAAATACAAAGCAGGGCAAATCCATTACAGACATTCAGCAGTTTATTTTAAAAAAACAAATTGTTCACTAACAGACAGACAGGGGTATGTTTTTTTCAAACAATATTGACCGTGCACTCTTCATTTGACCCTATAGCCAGTAAATTCGGTAAACTTTTGATCTACTTTTAAATCTTTATGAATGTTTATAATACTGCTTTTCATTGGATAATCGTGACGTTTATATAGCTGCTGTCGATTCATAAAAAAACATTTTACTTTTTTCTCTAAAAAATAATGCTTGCTGTAT